GATTAGATGCTCAACTTCAATAGTTGGCAACATGTTCTGAAATGACAAATTCACAAAGATCCTATCCAATCTCTTGAATATACACTCAGCATTAGATCTCCCATTCCACCATGTGAATGGACTTCCTTTGTACCCTTGCTCAAACAAACCACAAAAGTTTACACAAAATACAAAATCCTTATATTTAGGAGGGTGTACTGGAAGTCCCCCTATTTTCTCATCTTCGTGCAATATCACATTGAAATCCCCTCCTACCAACCATGGTAATTCCATATCACTTGCTAAATAACACAAGTGATCCCACAAATCCAACCTCTCCATTACTGAACATTTTGCATAAACAAATGTCATCATCATGTGCTGCCCCAGGTCATGGTGAAACACTCTCACAGTCACATGTTGCTCACTATCCTCCACTAATTCCCATTCCACCACTGCATCGAAGAACAACCATATTTGCCCATTAATATTTGTATAAGCAGTCTCCATATTCAACCTCATTTTATATCTATCAATGAGTCCCTTCTTTTGAAAAGGCTCCATCAATGCAACTACAAAAAAATTATGCTCCCTATTCATATTGATCACCCTAGGAAAGGCTTGTTGTGTATTCACAAACCTTATATTCCATGTTAATGTTTTGATCATCATCTAGATAGAGAAGCTGCCCTTCTGGGCATTATTCTTGAAGGTTGTGGTGGATCTTTACTCTGATTCTTCTTAGTTTTTTTACCTCCTTTAGCACTAGTTGTGGGTGATAAATCCCCTTCCCTAGCCACTTGTTTGAAGTTTTTGGCAGTTGATTCATCATCTCCTACATCCTCCATTGGATTTTGTCTCAATAAGTCTTCATCAATTGGTGTCACATTGTGTGTAATTAAATCATGTAAATGTTGTAGAGGAGTCTTAGTTAGAACATTAAGATGTAGTTGCATGGTTTGATCAGTGCCAGATTCCATAGGCACTTCCTCTATTTCCCCGGATGCTCTTGGAATAATTGCCCGCTCATCAGCATGTTTATACTCCTTGAATTGTAGCTCATGGACATACGCCGGAACACCATCTACATAGGCCAAAATCTCTCCAGTGGCTCTAAGGTTGGGGTTTACTGTAGCTGCCTCATCAGGTGAACCTGGCTTTAAGCCTGGCATCGCCTGCCTAATGTCTGGGGAGCCTGGCGTCACCAGCCTATCACCAGGTGAGCCTGGCTTTAGGCCTGGTGTCGCCAGTCTATCGCCCGGTGAGCCTGGATTTAGGTCTGGCGTCGCCAGCCTATCGCCAGGTGAGCTTGGATTGTTGTCCTTCTTCACCTTGTCTTCTATTGTCTTTGTTTTGCCCAGCTGATCATTCTTAACCTCAACTGCATCGCTCCATAAAACCTTTGTAGAGTTTACCTCATCAAGATCCTCCATCTGCCCAGTATCTTTAAAAGTTTGAGATGGAATCGCATGACAAGGTTGGTTTGTGGTCACATTGAGTTTTTTTAGCTCCTCTTTGCTAGTCCCAAACCTTCTATGAACCCCGTCGATTGTGGACTGGATCCCAGGAGGAGTAGGACCATCTTTAGAACTGAAGACTGGTTTTTCCCCCACCAAAACCAGTTGGTTGTTCTCGTTTATATCACTTTGTTTCTCCTCTAATACTGCAAATTTATTCCTTGTTTGAACCTTGTTTGTCTGATCTTCTTCGACCTCCATCAGTGGAAAGTTATTGTGCACCTGCTGTACACCAGCATTCACTAGCACGATTGCATTGCCAGTTTTCCCTTGTACCTGGGTTTTGTTATTTTTGTTGGTTCCCCAATTATCCCGAACTTCCTTCCACTATGCACCTACGTTCCCGACTACTTTTCCACTCGTGAGAATCATTAAAGGGGTAATGTGATTTTTGGTTTTTCCTTGTTCATCAGCAGCAGAATTCCAGTTGTTCAACCCAGCAAGATCATTCCTTTTCTTGCTGCTTCGATTCTCAATAAGCTCAGGGTGCAAACGCCAACATTCAATTTCATCATGTCCTTGTAGTTTACACTCCTTACAATATTTTGGTAGCATGTCATACTGACTTCTCACCCATTCTATTCAAACACCATCAGAAGCTTCATCATCAATATCCAATCGCACCTTTTTAGGTAGTTCGACCAACAAATCGACAAGAACTTTTACTCTGGCGCAACTCGGCCTAGTTTTGTTTGTAGTTGCCGCGTCAAGACACACTGGCCTTCCCACAGCTGTAGCCAAAGAAAACAGAGTTTCCTTTACAAAAATGGTAGGCAGCAGTCCAGGAAAAGAAATCCACGCTATCACCATCGGAGTTTCTTCACCCGCCTTAAATTTTGCATCGTAGATAAGAGTACGCAATTGGTATTCGTACCCTTCTTTGGCTTTGATGTAGTACATACTCTTCGATGTGAAATCGAGGAAATCTTGCCATAGAGTAAATCTAATTAACACATGACGATCTCTAAGGAATCCGATATTACACTCACCTTTGATACCACATTGAGTTGGAATTATTCAACGAAGCTCGTGAATCTCCGGAGAACCATATGAAAGCTTGCCAACGACGGCATATTGAAGACCTTCAATCATGTCCATTCTCTCTACTTCTGCCTATGTGAATTTAACCACTGGTTGGCCATTTAAATACACTGCTCGTCATAATGGAATGGGTTGAATTGAAGCTGCAGCAGTAGCCATCGCTGGAGGATTTAAAGAATTTGGTTTCAAAATCTTAGAGTAATCTAGAGGGCCTGGGTTGGAGTTAGTTGTTTTATGTTGTTGTGCAAAGCTGGGGGAGGGTAGACTAGTCGAAAAATCCGGCTGGTCGCCGGCCATTGTGGCCATTGAAGCCTAAAGCTCCAGCTTTGTCCGCGATGAACAGTGACGAAGTCACTGTTCACGGTACTGTTTGGCACTGCTCACTGCTACAGTGACGGCGGAAATTTTTTAGGTCTTGAGTTGGAGAAGCTCTACACACCGTGTTCACTTTATAATCTCAGGTTTTAGTCGTCTATCGCACTCTAATTTACTGTACTTTAATTGAGTTTGAGCCTTAATCGCTAGTGTTTTGCACTAATTATATGTTTAATACATTGTAGGAGTGATTTCTAGCTATGTAGATGTTATGAGATGAATTCACGCTATTTTGGAGCTTTGAAGTTTGAGTAAAACCCAAGGATTAAGTTGGAATCGAGTTCGGGGATCAACGGACACTAGTGCATTCAAAAAGAGAAATGAAGAATCGAGCCGGACGTCACCCAGGTGCGCGACCGCGCACTGGGCGCACATAGGAGGCAGAACACTACGCAGAGTGTGCGGCCTAATGCGTGAGCACCATCCCAGGTGCGCGGCCACACACGTCCTGTCCGGGAAAAGTCCTACTTCGTAAAGGAGAAGGTGTGTTTGTTTAGGACCGACCCTACTTGGTATATATACATGGAAAAATGGTATTTTGGGGACTTTTGACATATCTAAGACCTAAGGAGGCTAAGAAGAAGTGGTAGAAGCAAGAGCCCAAGGATTTCATGATTCAATCCTCACTCAAGACAAGGGTTTGGATCTTTTATGCTTTCCTTTAACTTAAACTTATTTGTGATGAATTACTCCATATCTATGGAGTAGTTCTCTTTAAGGATTGATAGATTTGGTGTATTGGGAATTGTTTGTGGATATTAACTCTAGTTTTTATATATTGAATCGTTTTGGATATTTTAATTGTTGCATCTATTTTCACATGTTCATGTAATTGAAAGAGGCATAACTTGTGATGTTTTTGTATTATCTTGTTGGTTAAATTCATTGATTCTTCTTAGTAATATAAAGAGGCTAGTTGAATTATTGTTTAGACTTAGTTAGGAGGATAATCGAAAGCGGTTCTCCTAAAGACCAATCCATTACGAATTCTTGCATATCTTCACCGAGCTTAACTTAGTTCTTATTATGAGGTTGAGACTTAATCAAGAGAGGGGTTTCTACTGAACGTTTTAACCAATAATAGAGTGAATTCGAGAGACTCACTTGAACCTTAGAAGTAAATCGACTAGAGTTAAATCCCAGACAAGTGTCTTGCACCTATCCAATCAACCCCTAATTTCTCCCATTGATATCTTCATTTCTCTGATGCAATTGTCATTCGTCAATAGTTTAAACTCTTAGTTAAATTTTAGTTTGAATCACACAAATCTCAATTGTTGATCATCTTGGATAACAATCAAGCTATAAACTACAAAAATACTGTTTAACTGCAATCCCTGTGGATATAATATTTTATTATACTATATTCGACTAGCGAGCATATTTAATTCTGTGTTTTGCGCTCGTCAAACTCTTCCTGCTAATACTGAGAGAAATTCAAAAGAGACAATAAACGCAGTGTCTTTGAGGAGTGGGCACCTATTGGAGGATTCCAGGGTAAAACAAAAGGATGGGTTGATTGAAGGACTTGTAGAGATTGTGGAGGAACAGAAAAATAGCAACTTTCAAGAAGGTGAAGTGATGGTAGATAATGGTCTGAGGAAGAAAGGGAAGACTAGAGCTCAAAAGAAGAAGAAATATGAGAATTCAATGAATGAGGAGACTGAGGAAAGCAAATACATGTCTTCTCTACCTTTCCCTCAGAAGCAGAGAAGAGAGAATCTAGACAAACAATTTAGGCATTTTCTAGACGTGCTCAAGCAGGTGCATGTTAATCTACCATTCACAGAAGTGCTTTCACAGATGCCGGCAAATGCTAAGTTCCTGAAGAAGATATTTTCCAACAAGCAAAAAGTGGAAGAGACATTGGTTGTCAAGCTCACAGAGCATTGCAATGCTATTTTGCAAAATAAGCTCCCTCAAAAGTGTGAAGATCCAAAGAGTTTTACTATACCTTGCTCTTTAGGAAGTACTAAGTCTGAAAAATCTTTGTGTGATATGTGTGCTTCTATTAATCTTATGCCTTTGTCTATTTTCAGGAAATTGGAGGAAGATATTGGAGAAATCAGGTCAATACCTGTGTCTTTACAGCTGGCAGATCGGACTACAATCATCCCTGAAGGAATAGTGGAAGATGTACTAGTTCAGGTGGATAAATTTGTGTTCTCTGTGGACTTCATCGTGGTGAATATGGAAGAGAATAGGGAGATCCCTCTTACTCTAGGGAGACCCTGTTTGACTACTAGCAGAGTGATTTTGGACACTCAAGAAAGGCAGCTCATGCTCATAGTGGGGGAAGAAAGGGTGGTCTTCAAGATATAAAGAGCACTGGGGGCCTTAAAAGAATGAGCTGGAGAGAATAAGCATGATAAGTGTAGGGTGTACTCAAAAAAGGCAGAGAAAAAACTCTCAGCATGGATGTGTGCACTGGTTCGGCACGTGCAAAGTAGATATCGACTTCGATTCAGACCCAGACCAGATGATTCAGGAAAGTTCCTTTACCTCTTACTTTTTATTTGTGTGTCATGGGGACATGCCACAATTTAAAGTGTGGGGTAGGGATGTAAATATGTACATGTGTGTTTGTTTTCTTTTGTTTTATTTGGATTTTTTTTTACTTTTCCCGACGATGGATTTCCTCGACCATCTTCTTGAGGGATAAAAGTCGAAGAAAAAAATATTTTATTTTTCTTAGGTAGTGTAACAATTCTCCCTTGATTTTTCTTTGTACCGCGGTTCTTTTTCAAGGGTTTTGCTTGAACCGAGTATAGTTGATGCGCCCCTTTTCTATCGAAAGCGGGTTTCGACATGTGACAACTCTTTTAAGTGGGTATTAAAAGAGAAGAGTCATCACCTAATGATTTTAAAGTGCGTTAAGGCACCTGTTTACAAATAACTCTATTCAATTTGTCTATGTTACCAAAGATCGGGTAAGGGCTCAAATTACCTCGTGTTACGCACTCTTCGAGCTCGGTCCACAACTGTGGGTCCCGGGCAAAGTTTATGCTACATGGGACTATCGGATTATAATTGTCCTATGTGATCATATAAGTAAGGGAAGACAAGGAATTTAAAGGTTCTACTAAAATATAAACAAGTGTAAAGAAGATCCCACATGAATTAAACTATATAAATAATCAACACAAGTCTTTGGAGGTTACAGGATATAATTTAATTATTCTAAGTTCAAGAGACGAAGTTGTCACGACCCAAAATCCCACCACAGGCATCGTGATGGCACCTAGTCTCTAAGACTAGGTAAGCCGATTTCTTTAACATTTTGAAGCCATTTTTTTTGAATTAAAATCTAACAGCGGAAATAATTACAATACACAACCTCCCAAGACTGGTAGTACTGAGTCACGAACTCTAACTGAATACATGGAATGATCACGAGGACCGAATATACAATACTGTTTGATTACAAATTAACAGTACAATGAAATGAAAAGACTCCAAGGGACTGCGACGGCCAAGTAGCTCTACCTTGAATCCTTATAATCGCGCTTTAACTCTGATCAAGTCCGATATCTTCAATACCTGGCTCTGCACAAAAATGTGCAGAAGTATAGTATGAGTACGCCACGATCGGTACCCAGTAAGTATCAAGACTAACCTTAATGGAGTAGAGACGAGGTACAGTCAAGACACTCACTAGTCTAATAACCTGTGCAATATAATATACAAAATAATAGGAAACAAATAACAATAGGACAACATGGAACAAATAGTGATATGCACAATAGACAACAATAATACCATTAATACCACTCAACAATTAATAAACACAAGTACACCCAATTAAATCAAGTCCTTCAAATAAATATCTTTCATATATAATTCTTCCAGATAACTCTCTTTAAAATATAGTTTTCTCAAATAATTATTTTTCAAATATAATTCTTTCAATAAATCTTTTCAATTATAATTTTCTCAAATAAATATCTTTCATATAATACTTTCTAAGTAAAAATCCTTCCAAATAAATATTTTGAATATAATTCTTTCAATTAGAAAGTCACTACGTGACACCTCATTTCATAATCATAAAAATACGGGTCTCAGCCCATTTTCATATTTTTTGTAAACACGGGTCTCAACCCATTTTCATATTTCCACTGCACCTCGTGCCCATAATTAAATCATCATATTTTCTCGGCACCTCGTGCCCTCATTTCATATCACAACTGCACTGACAATTCACGTGCCAATTATCATTATTATTTCATCACAGCACGTCGTGCCCACATTTCATATCACAACTGCACGGGCAATTCACGTGCTAAATATTCTCATTATTTACTCACGGCACCTCGTACTCACATTTTATTTTATAATCCGCCTGACAATAGCCACAGGCTCTCAATTTCAACATAAATCAGATTGTTATCAATTTACCAACAACAAGACAAGTTCACAAAGTATAGAACTAAACACAAGAAAATCACAACATCACATAAAAATTATCAACACCACAACCCCATATCATCACATATTATCCCTGACAATAGCCACCCTTATCGCTCCTATTGCCACCCTTATCGCTCCTATAGCCACCCTTATCGCTCCGCCCAGATAATATTCCAACAAACACAACAACAGTGAAATGCCACCCTTATACCCACATAATATCAACGATGAAATGCCACCCTTATCTCTCCAAAATAGTAACTCACACAAAACAATAATTTACACGGGAAATTAACACGACAATATAATAATATCAATTCATATCACAATTTGCCCAATGGCCACAACCAAATTCCAAAAATATAACAAAATTAATTAATTTCACAACAAATAGCCCAAGGCTCCACACAATATATATAACACCCAAAAATAATTAATTGAGATAGAAATTACTCAGCATAAAAAAAAATCTTCATTAATGCAAATTTAGATAATTATATTAACATTTATTCTTAAGCTCGCTTAAATTAATTATTTGCATAAGAAGATTCATATTGCAATTAATTTTCAAGAAATATTAAATCAACAATACTCACGAAATTTCTTAAATATTTCAAGTAACAATCACATCAAATTATCATATAAAATAAATTCAACAATAAGGATTTAGGCATGGCAAACAGATGATTTAATAATTTCCTACAATTTTCCAATTTACTACGCAATAATGCCTAAGACTTTATTTCAATGAATTTTGCACGTATAAACCCGAGTACGTACTTGTCACCTCGCGTACACGGCTTTTCACATTTCACAAATGGTACGTAAGACTCAATGCCTAAGGGGTAATTCCCCCACTCGAGGTTAAGCAAGACACTTACCTTTTTGAAGTTAGGCTAATATTTTAAAATAGCCTTCTTGCTTGAATTGGCCTCCAGACAGCTCAAATCTATCCAAATTAATTGTATAACTTCATTAAAATTCATCGGAAATAATTCCGGATAATAATACGTCGACTTAAAATTTTATTCCAAAAAGTCAACAAAAGTCAACGTGGGGCTCGCCCCTCGGGACCCGGCATAATTTTCATGAAATCCGAATACCCATTTTGATACGAGTTCAACCATACCAATTTTATCGAATTCCAATAACAACTCGACCTCCAAATCTTAAATTTTCGTTTTTGGAAGATTTTGTAAAAATTTTGATTTCTTCTATTTAAATCCGAATTAAATAATGAATATAATCATAGATTCATTAAATATAATCACTTTAGGATATAGAACACTTACCCCAGTCGAAGTCGTGAAGAAATTCTCAAAATCGCCCAAAATCCGAGCTCCAAAAATTCCAATCGAAAATGAAGAAATGACAGATTTTCAATCCTTAAGTTTCTGCCCAGGTTCGCATTTGCGGACAAAAACTTTGCATTTGCGAATGAACAGTACCTCACATGAACAGTGTTTTCGCAATTGCCATAAATGGTTCGCAATTGCGAATAAACAGTGTTTTCGCAATTGCCATAAATGGTTCGCAATTGCGAATGAACAATATTTTTGCAATTGCCATAAATGGTTCGCAATTGCGAATGAACAGTGTTTCACTAGAAACCAGCAAACTCAAACTTCTCCGAAATAATCCGAAACTACCCTGAAACTCATCCGGAACCTCCCGGACACAAACTATATATGAATTTCAATCATAAAACATGCTACGGACCTGCTCGCGCACTCAACAAACTGAAAGGAGGTCGTCTTGACCCGATATTGACCATGGTCAAACTCCCAAATTTCTTAACTTTACTAGTCTTTCCACCAATGATCCAAAAATACACCTAAGCCCCTCGAGACCCGTCAAATCATACCAACAAGTCCTAAAATATCATACGAACTTAGTCAAAACTTCAAATTACATCGAAAAATGCTAGAATCACAAATCATACCCCAATTCAAGCTTAATAAAATTAAAAAATTCCAACTTCTACATTTAATGCTGAAACCTATCAAATCACGTCCGATTGATCTCAAATTTTGCACACAAATCATAAATGACATAACGGACCTATACAAATTTTCAGAACCGGATTCTGAACCCGATATCAAAAAGTCAACTCCCCGGTCAAATTTTCAAAAATTCTATTTTCGCCATTTCAAGCTAAATTCCACTACGGACTTCCAAATAATTTTTCGGACACGCTCCTACGTCCAAAATCATCATACAGAGCTATTGGAATCATGATAATTTGAATCCGAGATCGTTTACTCAAACGTCAATTCTCCGGTCAACTCTTTCCATTTATGCTTCTAAATAAAGATTGTTCTTTTAATTTAATTCTGAATCTTCAGTAAATTAAACTCGACCACACCGTGGGTCATAATACATATTGCGAAGCTGCTCGAGACCTTAAGTCACTGAATGGGACGTTAATTCTTAAAACGATATGTCGGGTCGTTATAGAAGTGAGAACAATAAACATATAAAATAGGAGGGGAGGGGGGATCCTATGTTTTTTAGCCCAAAGGATCACCCCGTATAATATAAATAATACTTCGCAACTCCCTTAGGGTAGGGGTTGCTCATATTATTCAGCGGGCACAAACTATTATCTCCCGCTACCCAATTACTATGTTAAAGTTGTTTACTTAAAGTATTCTAATTCAATTTTAGATTGTGTCATATGCGCGTGCTACTCGTCCATTGCCTATTGTCTATAAGGCTTTGGACCTATTATTTGGGTGGTTCTAGACTTTACTTAGGATGCTCAAAATGATAAAACTAGTCGCACATTCAAAATATGTAGGACTTCATATAAAGAAAATAAATGGCTCAAGTTAGCCTCCACACATAAGCAACAAATGCACGCGGGTAGATTAGGCAGTAGACAGTTAAGATGCACTAGAGTCGTTGAGTCC